AGATGAAAATAGAAACTGTCCAATCCAGCAGGATCTTGGAAGCTAGAAAGTTATTTGTTAGAATTTAAAACAAACAAGCAAAAGTAGGGTATAGAGGGTTTCTAGAGAGGTAACAAGGCAAAGACCATGTATATATATAAAACATATATCAATAGTTTATTGTACACAAAACTCATAGTTTAAAAATGAATCCAGTAGGTAAAAGCATTTACAGTCCATACATGTAGATTTATGCAGTCAGGATAATGGAGCTATCCTTCAGTTAGTGTTCAGATAATAGTCTGGCGTAATTCATCCCGACGCATTTCGCCAATGGCTTCTTCAGGGGATCAGTGTATATATTGATCTAGCATTAGAAAGAGATTTTCTTGCATAGAATTATTCTCTCAATGTATGGTCACATAGGGCATATAGCAACATTGCACAGTGTATAGCTCCTAAAGCATTCCTTATATTGTAAATCCCCACATGGATGGACATCCCCATCGAAAGTGACCACCCGGCACTTCACCAGGCACACAAGGTGCCCGGAGAGGACCGATGCTGAGAGGACCGAAAGAAAAAGGTGGCCAGATAGATCTAGCCACCATTCCCAGTCCCTCATCATACCTGGGACCTCGGTGCCATACATGGAGGAGTATCTGGGATACCCGGTGGTGCTTTGAGAATTTAAAACAAGCTAAACGGGAATTAACATGGGTTCCCATGATGCATTTCACACATCATGGGCCTAATCAGTATGCACAGATTTCTGTGAAGGTTCTCATTCATTCAAGTCATGGTATATCTGTAAAAAATAAATCAAAGCAACTGTACTTGCTGTATTTTTCTTGAAGACGTTTTGCTGGTCATCCAACTAGCTTCTCAATTCGGAAAATGAGATACATCTTCTGAATTGACAAAGCTAGTCGGATGAGCAGCGAAACATCTTCAAGAAAAATACAGCAAGTGCAGTTGCTTTGATTAGTTTTTTTACAGATATACCATGACCTGGATGAATGAGAACCTTCACAGACATCCGTACATACTGATTAGGCCCATGATGTGTGAAATGCATCATGGCAACCCGTGATGATTTCTGTTTATCTTGATTTTAATTCTAACAATTAACTTTCTAGCATCCAAAATAGTAAGCATGAATGTTCAAAACACATCAAGGTAACTTGTGATGGTTTCTGTATAGCTTGATCCTAAACTTCTGATAAAAAGCTTGCTTGTTTACGTGATCCTGCTAGATTGAACTTCCACGGGTAAGGGATGTGATCTGGCTGGGTGATGGAGAGGGCATGCACGAAGTTCCCCATTCAGAAACAATTTTCTTAATATACTCAGAGCTATTTTAATCCTAACAGCTGGCCTAACTCTCATCTTATGATGTGAATTATAGTATCGGCAGTTAGTAGGAGTGAGAACACGTTTCACACACAAGTTGATAGTACTCCAAAAATCAAACGATGAATTGCCTCTCCCAAGTATGCTAGAGTTGATGGAGGGGAGCTTTTAAGATCCTGGGATTCCATGAAGCAATAAGTGGATTTGAAAAGAGCCCTTTCAACGATCCCTCGTGGTTATAGTATCTTGTCCATTTCCGTGTTCTATATCCGAAAAAACGGGTTGGGCGTCAATGCTTCCTTCCCCTCCAGTTAACCCCTCGTGCACCGCATAAGCCGCGGTATCCATGCACCGGGGTTTATCCAGATAGAAGCAGGGAAAAATAGACAAAGACTTATTCCTTCAGGGAATCCCAGGGCAACCCTAGGAGGACAGATAAGTAGTATTATCCTCCATACGCTATCACTCTAATATTTAGGGTAAAACAGATGATTGGTTGATTGACTTTTGCCGACATCAGGACTTATTTAAGGTCACAGGACATTGACCTAACTTTCTGGTTTTTGTTTTAATGATTATACCCTAGATCACCTACACCGACTCCCCTTGCAGATTTGGATATTCATATCTATGCACCTAACATATAGTGGTGCACAAGGAGAGCTCCCCCTCACCTGTCCCATCTATATTTTTCCTTCTATACCGCAACTGAAATGGCACATAGTCACTTTTGACACTATAATTACACCAAGCAGATGGCTACAGCAGATGGCTGTACAGCGACCCAAATCACACCTATGAAGCCTGCTTGTCCATCCTCCCTCCATGGTCCATCACCCCCTCCATCATCCTCCCCCCCCTGTACAGCCACCTGCATAATAGATATATATATATAGCACTGGGACACACTTAGAAAAAAAAAAGCAATACCAGAACCTAATGCAAGTGGTATAGAAGAGTGGCAAAACAATATATGAATTTTTGAGAAAAAGGTCCTCCATATATGTTTCTTTTTTCCTTTTCATGTTTTTGCTCCATACATTATCCTGTTGACCCCATCTACATTTTTACTTGACATAACCTATATAGACATGGAGCTCCAGTATACACACAATAAAAGGATTGCCGGAATTGCTCTGATCAGATTGTTAACAGCAATCAACCATGTTTAAATAAATATTTCTTTTTAATTTTGCAAACCCCACCATTATGATAAATCAGAGATCTATTGCAGACGAAACGTATTTCTTGAAATGTTTTAACATCTGCCGTGAATCTGAGGGGTTTTTTTTTCCCCTTTTTGAGGTTCAAATTTGATTGCATGCTATAAATAAGCCTGAACATGTATTACCTTCCAGTGACCGGAATGGAAGACAAATAATTGGTCTCATCTTGCAGTAAAGATTCAGACCTGTCTGTAATTTTCTTTCAGCCAAACTGCATATATTATTACCATCTCTATTATTTTGAAATAATGTGTTGTCTGTGTTTTTCTAATACCGATCAGTTGTGATTTAACCATTTACAAAATGGGGTAATTAGGTAATTACTTTGCCATATTTGACCCACTATTACTGTAGCGGCCCAGCGTTTGCCCTTATTGCGTTACGATCACACATGTTCGGTAGTCGTTTAATTTGAAGGTGGAAGTTGACACAGTAAAATGAAACTGGAGTGTATCTCACAAAGCACATGTGCGACACATTGGTTTCTGTTAGTGAGCTGTCTGACAGACGAAAACATCTTTAACAGTCCACAGCACTCTCACTCCCATGATGCTCCATGTGTTAAAATGTTCTGTTTGAGACATACTTATAAAGATGATTTCCTCTCTGGGACTTTAACCTTTCTGTCCTCCGCAGGAGGCTGAGGGTTTAATGCAGGTTAACATATGTTATCCCACAGGGAGCGCAGCCTCTGTTGTCAATTAGACCCCATCAGCAGACAGCGAGCGAACGCGCTGGAAATCCGTATGTATGAGAGATGGAAAAAATACCTTTTATGACAAAACCAGATTAAAACCATCTTATAAATGTAGATTTTATTTTCCGAAAAATATACATTGAAATGAGCTCGTTGTACAGCAGCTGTTCCAGGAATCGTAAAGACGCAGATTAGGCGTAGAGTAAGCTCTTTAAATTTTTTTTTTTTAAATCGCTGATATTTAATATGTTTAAATATCAGTGGTGCAGAGGCTGGTTGTTGTAGAAAAGGGCCTCAGATGTAGTCCAGGGCATGTATTCTAATTGTGGACATAATCAGAATTTAGAAATTATATCGTTGTGTATAAAAATCTGAGCAAGCTCTGTCCATAGACTTCTATTGAGATGAGAGGCACATTGTACTAAAATACTCAGCAGGAAGCTTGACATACATGATGACCAAAAATAGCCGCCCTTGTACATCTTAAATAAGCATTACTTATTTTTTTTGGCATATGTTGATAATTTCCATAAAGCTGATCACATTCACATATATTTAAATCTGAAGTGTATTAAAGTGTATTTTTTGTAGTGTTTAGTGAAGTAGGGAAGGATTAGAACTCCTGATTGCTATCTGGGTGTCTGCTGGAGAAATTCACGCTCTCTTTTTGTACGGGTGACTTTTGTCATTAGGACTGAACGTGGGAGAAAATTTAGTGTTGTCACAGGAACAGCAATAGAGTGGGACTCTTCCAACAGGGACACTTGTTCCAGTAACAGCTGTCTAAGAGGCGAATGTCCTTACTTTGGAAAGACTTCCTCAAGTAAAGACATCAAGACACAACTCACAAGGTCAAAGCACCACATCCCTAAATTTGACTTATCAGACCAACAAAAAAAAAACATTTGATGGGACTTTTCAGGTGCTATAATGAGAACACTACAGAATTATCAAATATATACAATTTTATTTTAAAAGATTTGTTGATATCAAACATCAATTTGATTAAAATAGCTAATAATATAAGCAACACAAAACTTAGAATGCTCGGTTCACAAATTGTATGTAAATGTACACATTTACATACAATTTGTGTACTGCTACCTCTCAGTGTTCCCTTCCCCAACCATATAGGATAATGGATAGGGTAACACATATAGGATATGACATTCGCATTGATATTTGTTATCACCATTTAAAAAAAAAAATCATAAAATTGTATGTTTTTTATAATTTGGTAGTGGTATCATTGTAGCACCTGAAAAGTCCCATCAAATGCTTTTAGGTTGGTCTTGGAGAGATTTCCAATCACGTTCTGTGGAACAGGAAGTTGAAGCAATACAGCCAGTCTGAGGTAAACCATTGTTAGAGACCATAGCATGTTTGATACATTACATGGGTTCTGCAGTAAAAGAAATTGAAGTATTATTGTGTTACACAATAAAATGTTCTGGTATTCTTAAAGAAAACAGTTCATGAGAGAAACATGGAGGCTACCATTCCTAGTTGCTTATGCTCCTTGTTCAATACTTTGAGATAGTCCCCAAGAGCAAGTATTCAAAAAGGAACTTCTGACTGACTTTCCTGATACACATACTAGGTCGGTGGCTAAGAAACACTTCATTCCAGGCAGCCATTTAGCTAGCATTTTCAGAAAGAGGTCAGAATCAGA